ATGGGCAAGTTTTGACGGAAGAAACAGAACCGAACTGAGACGTGAGTGAATTAAATAAATAAATATATTTTTTTAGTATTTTACGAACATCGACTCTAAAAAAATAATATTTTTAACTTACAGAGGGAGATCATATTAAAGTCACACCATCAAAATTCCCATTCCCGACAGTTTGTTTAGAGACCCAATCGCGAGATTGGTTTAATTCAATCTCCAGATGTTTAAGGTGGAATGAGCGAGAGAGACAGAAAACTTTTGTTGTTGTAGAAGAGGATGTTAATGATGATGATGACGGATATTCTGAATCTACAGAAAATGACTCAGAGTCCAACGCGGATGAATCACGTCAAGTTGAAGTAGAAAGTAGTTGCATGCAACAGAAAGAATCCTCATCGCTAATAGAAAAGCAAAATCATTTACAACATAATATTCAACAGCAGAATAATAATATTAAACAACATAGGAGAGGGAGTAGTACTGTGCACGCCTTTGCTTGTGTTGGAAAGGATAATAGCGATACCAGTAGTAATACCAGTAGTGGGGGTGAAGAAGAATGGAAAGTTGTTCGAAGAGGAAAAAAGAAAAAGAAAGCTTAAAAAATGGAAAAATTTTTTCGCATCCTTTCGTTTTCTTGCAGATATTCTTACATAATTTTCATAAAACCAATATATATTTTCCTTGTATAGATAAATACATTATCAATTTTTTAATTTTCCTTATATATATAATATATATATAATTGAATTTGAGAAAAACTTTTGTAGATAGTAAAATAAAAAATCAATATATTTAAATATAAATATAAATATAATAATAAAAAATCAAATTATTTATTTATTCATTCTTATTCATAATAGATTATTACAAATTTTTCTATTGAAAATAAATTTTTATTAATTTATCGTTGCCAATTTGTTTCATTGATACTCAGGAATAAAGAAAAAAATAATTTCCGGAAAACGTCCGAGAAACACATACATGTCTGGAACATCGTAAATGCACAACGTGTACGATTCATGTTTCAAATGTGTTACACCCAAAGAGATTGGTTGAAAAAAAAAAAAAAACCATTCACACAACCTCCTTGTTTTGACATTGACATTTAACCAAAATGATCATGTGAGGTCCTGACATATATTTTTTTTTTTTTTTGCGAGGGAAAAAGTCTATATACAACTTGTGAATTAGGAGTTTTAGATTCAAGGGATTTAATACCCTTGGAATTTTAATTTTTTTAAAATTTAATAAAGTGACAACAAAGATGGTTCTAAAACACGGTGCTGCCGCTGATTGCCGTAAAAGCTTAATGATTCGGGCAGCCGAAACGACCAAAAGTTGAAGGTGAGGTGATGATAATTTACTTTGAGCCGAAATTAGAAAAATGCCTAAAAAGGAATCGGCCGCATTATTTCCCATCCCATTCTTCAACAAATTTAGTCATTAAATGATTTTTTTTGATGAGCTCTCTCGTCAAAAAATGATTTCGTAATCATCTCACAAATAATTTGATTTGATTACACGATAAAATTCCTTTAGGCACAACAAAAAAAAAAAAAATTTATGTTGGTCACACTTTCCAGTTTCATAAGCAAAACACATTTTTTTTTAACATCAACCCCATTCGTGTTCCTTCCTTTTAGACAACTTTAGTGTGTATGTATAACACGATAATTTTTTTTTTTTTTTTTTTGCGCTACAGCTTTAAAGATGTCAATTGGAGCTTTCCTTTTTTTTTTTTTTTTTTAAAAAAAAAAGGGGGAAAAGTGTACCATTTTCCGAAATGACACCACAAGGAAGATGGAAATCTGAAACGGCAAGTTTTGGAAAATGAATCATGTCGGATTTACGCGTTCAATAAAGGAATCTATTATTAATCGTAAAAAAAAAAAAATAAATCATAAATGGTAAATACTGTAAATAATCGTACAAAATAAATATAATCTAGTAATATCAAATTATTTATCGACTTACAAATATCCTTTGACTAAAAAAGGTTGCTTTCATCACCTAATTAATGACCAATCCTTTAAACATACTTATCATACTCATTATTTAAGCGACTTGGTTCTTGATCACATGTCTTTTGATTATTTTGATCACAAGATGATGAATAAATTTCCAATGTATTAACCAACATTCTACACGTAATTATGATCTCTTTTGGTTCCATGACACGATATCCACACATGATACAATTTAAAGAAAAAAAAAAAGAGAAAATCAACTATCAGAATTTTATTATAATCTGATTTGTTTATTATAATCTGTACTTTCTTATAATGGGATCAGATTTTACGAGAAAATGATTGATACATCACAAAAAAAAAAAAAAATACATCATTATCGATAAGGAATTGCGTGGTGCATACTCCTTTTTTTTCTCTGCCAAAAAAGCCCTTAATTCCCATTTTAAATCACACTCGGAAGTACAGGTTTCGAAATGGATCTTGTCCAAGGAATTGAAATAACAAATCCTTTGAACATCCAAAATGGTTGAAACCGTCACATCAAACTCCTTTACATATTTTAACAGTGTTGTTCAAATATTCGTTCATTTTGATTATGTGAATCAAATGTATGATTTAAGGGAATATGTTTCCATTAAGTGTACGAACTTTTTTTTTTTTTTTTTTTGTGATCAGCGCCGTAATTTTTATTCCCGAATTAAAAATAAAATCAGGTTATACGTTATCCCATATAATCCCGCTCTTTAGCGGGATTCTATTTATGTTCTTGAGATAATGAGGTAGCCGTCCTGCACCTCGGATAAGATTCATTGGTAGAAAAAAACATCGGAATCCGTTAGTGTGTACCAGTAAAGTGTAGTTAATTGTACATAATATTAAAATAATAATGGTAAGCAAATATATTTTAATCAAAACCTTTTTTTTAGTTTACCCTTTTTTTGATTCGTAAAAAATAAATAAATCCAAACACAAGTAAAAAACAGGAATTATTCATTGTAAAATCAAAAAAGTTTTTTTGAAAAAAAATGACTCATTTTTGAACCTGGTGATACAAATTCAAAAAGAAAAAAAATTTCCCAGTAATTCTTATTATCTGATAACCATATATAACTACCACTTATTTGATATCTTGTATAAATTCGGTATGAAATGATTCAAATCTTCTAATTGGTATGATTTCGAATTTACCTTGTCATACAACAATAAGAACACCACCTTTTTAAAATCACATCATAACAAGTTAATACAACTCTAAATCATGACGTCTGTAATTTCATGCGGTAATTATTAATTATTATTTAATACTTTGTGTTTTTAAACATTTTCTCACTATCATTTTACATTATCTTTACTCTTCAAGATCATCAACGATAACGAATGAAAATTAAAAAGGCGTACCGAAAAGGTCACCTGTATAACCATCTCAACCTAATTCATTCAGTTTATTTGTTCCTCAATGTATTACCGAGTTTCTCTGTCATTATGTAATTTCAAACGAATCGGCGTAAAATTTATTTGTTTACGCGGATGATAATAATAATAAGCAAGTTAATTTACAATTAATTTATGGCGAAAAAGATTTGCGATCTAAAAAATGAAATGCGATAAAGGTTTAACGAGAAATTCTCCTGCGGGTGTTACGAGCTTATCATTTTTTACGTGAGATGAATGATGAACATTTTTTCCTTTAACGGAAAGATTTCACGTGATACGAATTTTCATGATTTGTATCACAAGGCTTGGTCCCTTAAATATCAAAAAAGGTTGGTTAAGTAACATGAATACAACATTTCATGTAATCAAAAATTTAATATACAGTATATCATATCCGGATCATTAATAATATTTGTTAGTAACTAAATCTGAATTTAGAATTCAAGATACGGAAATTTCTGGAACTTTATTTGAAATTTAAATTCAGACATCGGTATTTACCTGAAATTTTCGGATGTGACAACCGCGTCTCTGGGATTCCCGAGAAATTCAGACGATGATCAATTTCTGTTACAAACGTTTTGTATGGAATTCAAAAAATAAAGTTTAAATTTAATTAATTTAATGATTTGGCATCTTACAGATTTAAATAAAGGATTTAAAGAGTCTGTATGTATTTGTTTCAAAGAAAAATACGTCAATCGTGGTTTACTTGAATGGTTTTGATAAAAATTACGTTACAAATCAAAAAAAAAATAAAAAAACCGAGATTTTTTTTTTAATATACAGTATATTGGAAATTCGTTATCGAGACTTTATTCGCGGTTTACGAAAGTAAAAAATATAATTATCGAAAAAAAAGAACAAAAGCGAAATTTCAAAAAATAAAGAATTAAAAGTACACGAAATAAGGTTTTATCCTTTTTTTTTGTTTTTTGTTTTAAAAAAAAAAAGTTTAGCGAAGTTTTTTATTTGAAAAATTTTCGTTTTAAAATGATTTCTATTTTTTTTAATGATGAAATGCAAAAAGAATTAAAATAAATCTAAAGTGAATCATAAAAATTTTTTATCTATTATTTGTGTTCTAAGGGGGGATAAAAACTTAAATTTAATTTGCTTATGGTTTGTTTTTCTTTCTTTTTTTTTTTTTTCACTGGCAAAAAAAAAAAAAAAAATCTTAAAAATTAATACTATTGTTTCGAGGCAAATATGAAATGAAAATCTAGGCAACGATTTTGTTTTTTCTTAAATGGTAATCTTATCAAAAGATTTGTTAATAAAATAATCTTACGTGAAAATACGAAATTCGAAATGTCTATTGAATTGTAATTTACATTTTTTTTTGTGTCTGTGTTTGTTTTGTTTGTGTTTGTGATTCTAATGTAATTTCTATGAAGTTTTTTTTACGATGAAATGAAAATGAAATTTTGTTTAAATGAAATGAAAAAACGATTAAATGTTTTGTAAACTTTCGAGTAGTTCAATAAATCGATTTTTGTTTTTCTGGTTGTAGTTGGTGGTTGGTTGCGTTTATGAATGATATATACATCAAAAAAATTTTTTTTTTTTTATAAAAAAAGTATCGAAGAAGGAATAATTCTAATATTCCCACGCATGAAGGTTATTTTCATTCATGGTTGATGTTAACGAAATATCGTTATAAAATATTCCCGGTGCGGGGGATGCTGTTTGCGATTGCGAAAAATTGAAATCTTGTCCATACACGCTCGATGGTGTATTTATCTGATACGAATCTACGAGTCCTACGGTTGCTGGAAAATAACTTTGATTTTTCATATCCCAAGTCGTATCCCAGGATTCAAGGTTGCCATATACATAACCTGCAATACCACTTGGAAAGTGATTAGGATTTATGTAGGAGATGGCGGGAGAGGTTACAAAAGTGGGCGTAGGACAAGTGGGGGGTAGAACAAGAAGGTGTTGAACACGGTGTAGAGCAAGTTGGTGTGGTTGGAGACACACATGTAGAAGAAGATGAATTTGAATTAAGGCTCTTTCGTCTCTCTATTTCTGCCATTTCATTAGCGTTCAAGAATCTACCACCAGGTCCTCGTGGTCTGCGTAAGGCATGCACATGTCGAGACTCGTGAATGTAGGGCTAAAAGAATCATAACAAATAATTTTGGAGTTAATTTATCATCATCAAAAAAAAGAATAAATTAAAATAAAAATAAAGCATCAACACACCTTTCTTTCTTTGGATAGATTATGTTTCCTCTCAAATTTCTCACGAGCGATCCTTCGTTTGAGAATTCTTTTGTACTGCTTGGGATTGACATAGACGGGTTCATTGCCGTTATTCTCCACTTTCTTTACAGACTTATCATCCTCGCCTTCAACATAGCTTGTGATCCTTTTACGTTTAATTGCCACTTTGGATGAATCTTTTGAGGCAGAAGATGCATGTGGCGCAGAAGGCGATGTTGGCGGTGACGGGAATTGTTGTTGAGCTTTATAAATGGGTTTGACGTCCTCCGCAGTTTCAGCGCTGACGCTGTTTTGTTGTTGTTGTTCGTATTGCTGCTGCTCGTGTGTCATTGATTTGACTTCCTTGTTTTCTGGGTCAACGTTACCGTATGCTTGGTCGCTAATGGGTGATGACTTTTGTGCGGGAAAAAAAAAAAGGTCGGAAAATGGTTAGATTTGGATGCGTGGGAAAAAAAGTAGTATCACATAATACAATGAAGACATTTACCATGGGCGGAGAAGGATGTGTAGTGAAATGCACTGGTTTTAAATCCAACTCGTAAGTCTCAAGGAAGGAGGTGCCAGAAACCGAGATCGGAGGAGATGACTAAAAAGAGAATAAGGATTAAGATTTTGCAAAAAAAAATAAATAAAGTAAAATAAAAAAAAAAATCAAAAATGAAATTATTGCTTACCATGGCAGACGAACTTAAATCGAGATAAACTGGATCGTATTGTGCTGGCATATATCCCTAAGGAAGAAAATGAAAAAGAAAAAAAAAATTATTGACGATGATCATAAAGATTTTTTTTTTTAAAAAAAAAACAAAAGTGAAAAGTTCTTTTTTTTTTTTTTTTCCTTCACTTACCATGACAAGGTTTTGATCATACAATAAAGCTTGGTTAACCTGATTTCCTTGGTCAACATGATTCGAGATAGCGTCGTAATCTGAGATATGAGGCGCGTCAAGTGGCGATTGGACGTATTGCAAGTTATAACAATCCTGGTGGCTTTCCATCTTTGGCAAATTTTGCGAAAAAAAAAGAATATTTATTTTTATTTGTTGGTTTTTTTTTGAAAATTATATTTTGCGAGAGAGCTTTAGAAAAAAGAAATCTAATTTTTTTTTTTTTTTTTTTTTCGTATTATTTGTCTTTTTATAAAAAAATCAAAAACGTATGTTACACGAACCTTTAATCAGATCCTAGTGTTAGTTAAACATAAATTATTGAAACGTCATTACGAGGCGGCAATAGCCGAAACTTATTAGGCTAGGTTCGAAATATAATGTAATCACATAAATAAATGTATTAAGGATATAAAAACCAATGAAATTCACTTATCTATTTTCTAGAACAGGCTTACAAATTATATGATGCAGATCTCTATGGTACTCTAAAACGAGCCATACTCCATTGACTGACTTAATAAACAACTTTATTATCTGACAAATGGAGTGTTATTAGGTTCTTGAAACAAGCCACCACATGGCTGGGAAGGAAAAAAAATAAGGGCTTTTTCTGCCTTGAAAACATAACATCATATCATCATGAACATATGACGAGCAATAAAAAAAAAAAGAAGAGAAAAAAGGATGAAAATTAATCCAACATTGGCATGCAAAGACAATTTATGTGCTTGCTTATCGAAGATCTCTGGCGATAAATTATTCGGCATATATTAAAAGAGGTTCATGGTTCGCACTTTTTATTTTCACGTTAATGCCAATACCTACGTTAGAAGTTGAAGTAAATTCTGTTTCGTTTTTCTTAGCATATTCCGAGCTTTTGACGTACAACTTTGTTTCATTTTTTATTGGTCGTATAGTAGCAATCGTTTGTTGGTGTTTTCACTGCAAGCTTTATTATTTCCCCGCCATGTGTCACGACCATTAAAAAAATAATCAATTCCATTTAAAATACCAAAAAAAAAAAAAAGTAATGTAAGTCCGATATTTATCGTGTTACCATTTAGGTATAAGTATATATATATATAATTTGTTTATTTATGAGAAAATCTTGTCCTAAATAAACCAGAGATTTTTTTTTTAAATCCTCGCGTGATAATAATAATAATTTTTTTTTTTTTTGTGATGAAACAATTTTTGATTTTACGTCAAAAAGTATGAGGATTTTAATAGTTTTAAATTACTTCCATGAACCTTGATAGGTGTATTCCATGAATATGTGTCCATGTAATAATTTTTTTTTGAGACGTTTCATGTCAAATATTTTTTATGTAAGTGTAAATAATTAAAGCGCACAACGGACCCGGATTAAAATTTTTTCTTTTTTTTTTTTTTTTGATCCGCATCATTCTATTCTTAGCATCTCATTTGATCAGCTCGTGACTTATTAAATACCGTAATGGGAATTGAAAGAACAAATTAAAATTTGACCAAGGGAATAAAAATAGTAAAAAAAAAAAATGGTGCATACCCGATAATAAGACCATTTTCTTAAAACAAAAAAAAAAAAAAATATTTTATTTTATTTACGCCACAGCTTCTAACCTTAACGCACCTACAAAAATTTTAATAAAATATTACTTTTTTTTGTTATATTGATGCACCCCTCGTATATTATCAATAGCTCAATATATCTTATAATGTTCATTTCCGCATACCGTAATCGTTTTGAAAAACCGTCCGTCCTCCCATCCCCCCATCTCGAGGCAAAAAAAAAAATAAAATGATTTTTCCGAAAAGAGAATAAATAGGGCATATACATATTTCCCCATTTTCCTCAAAAATCTCCCGAGACCTTGCTCATTGTTATGCTGATTACGTTACTTTATTTAAACGTCTAGGTTTAAAAATACTGATTACCTTAGCATTACTATGCATTAATTAAATACCCTCTTCATTCCTCTTTCTACTCTTCCGAGGGTCATAATGATTAGCTAAAAATGGAGAGCTCCCGTCTACATTCCAAGTCACTGGTTATTGGGTTACACCAATTATTCAGCCCAGATCTGAGAAAGTGATGATATTGTACATACGTACGACATCGAGGGGAACATCCTCCCTCAAAAACCAATAAAAATCGAATGGAATTTGTTTTACTTTCAAAAAAAAAAAAAAACAAAATTAAAAAAAAAAAACAACAATAATAAAATAAATAAAAATAATATATAATAATAATAATAATAATAATAATAATAATAATAATAGTAATAATATAATAAATTTTATTATTGTTATGTCATTTTGATGGCTCCATGTTTATGCATGACTCGATAAAATTTAATTGAAAGTCTGGATTCGATCTGGTTACCACATATTGCCGACATGCTTGAATCATGATTGGTGTTTATCATAATATATTAATCATGTTTACTTTAGATTTTTTTTTAGATTAAAGAAAAGAGAGAGAGAGAGAGAACGAGGACACGAAAACCAATGAGAATCGATTCCAAAAGTTCAATGGTGGTGAGTAACACGTGGCCCAAGCGTATCCGAATATACTCCGGATGAAATAACAAACCATATTCACTGTTTAATACTATCACCCGCATATATGACCCAAATTAATTGTCAATTGTCAAGCCAACGAACCAATGACCTCAATGAATCGGTTCCTCCGCACCCTTTGTTTTTAGTTTGCCGTTTGTAACATTTAATCCTATTCCGAAAAAGGAAAATCATATTGATTGGAATCATAAAAAATAGTTTCATAAAAAAAAAAAGGGAAATGCAAATGATACCTAATATAATTTTAAATGTTTTTTTTTTTTTTTTTTTTTTATTATTACATGATAAATTATTAATGCTAAGCAGGCAACAAACAATTTATCATTTATGGTATATTGTTTACGGGATAACTTTTTGGGTCAAGAAATTTATTTATTTTATTTTATTTGTTTTGATTATTTTATTTTATTTTTATTTTATTTTTCGTCACGCAAAAAAGTAAAGTGATTACGAAAGAAAAAAATTCAACGTTAAATAAATTTAACAATCACATTTTTTTTTTTTTTTTTCCTGGGACATTGTTCCCAATTTAGTTTAGGTGAAAAGGCAAAACCTGATTTCTCTATTACTTTTGTGAACAAATATTTTTGTTTTAAGAAAAAAACATTTGTTTGTAAAAATTTTAAGTAACATTGGGTTTTTTTTAATATGAAACTTTAAATGATAAATCCTGTTATAAACAGGTTTTTTGATACTCCAATAATTCATTTGTGTATCAAAATTAGAAAAGTTGGGTGTCATTTTAATATTCTCATGATGTATAAACAAAGCCAAGTCGAAACAAACAAATTACTAATTTGGTTTAGAATTTCAATATTATACTTGTTTAAAAATATGATGATTTTTTTTTTTATATGCAACAATTTATTTTTTGGGGGCAAAATTCTTTCCCGTATGTGTTAGTTGACCAATTATAGATAATTTTTTTTATAATTTTAGGCCAAAATTATGTAAAAATTGTAACCAAGGAATTACGCAAATCACCTTGCCATCTAGGGCAATCAAATTAGGTTCCTTGATTTAATTCTCCATTTTTGGTTGACTATAAAATTAAGGAGGAAAAATAACCGAGAAACCTCGTATGCATCATTAGAGAAAATCACCCAAAGGAATTTCTTTTAAAAAAAAATTTCTTTAATCTCTCGTAGCACGATTTTTAATTTCTCATGCTAACTCTTATCTGTGATCAATATGACTTCACATGCAGTTGCCCACCTCATTTATATTGGTTTAAATTCCCATTTTAACTAACTAAATGGAATCGCTATGATCCTATATTGCATCGCAAGTTATCCTCTCGACATTTATTAATCTGTAACAATTAATATTTAATTATTGATATCATAATTATTAAACAGTTAAGATAAGATGATCAATTATTTTTAATTATTTTTTTAGTATCAAATATAATTTTTAATATAAACTTTAATTTAGATAATCTATATCCTCCAAAAAGCGGATAAATATCTCAATTTTGGTTTTGAATTACAAATGAACAACTTTAAATGATTCATTTTTCACGTGACATAATTTACAGAGTGTCATTATTAGGCACAGGAATCTATTATTGTCTAGATGAATTATAATTATTATTTTTTTTTTTTTTAAAGGTTATGCAAGTGAAAATAAAGATATTTGATGATGATGATAAATTTAAGGTGATAATTGTACATTAGATTTTGACGTTGATGCAGAAAATGGATGAGTTAAAAGAGCTTTAGCCGTAGGCCTGTCATCATGATTCCTGTAACGACAAGAAAAATTAAAGGTTAATAAGAAACAACCCTAAACCGTGCGGTGAAGTAGGTACTACTTACGGTTCAAATGTCTTTTTCAGAAAGTCTTCGGCTTCATTTGATATATTTTCAGGAATCTCTGGTGAAATAGATTCAACACCAATCTAAATTATAAAAATCGTTATCAAATAGAACAATATTTAATGAATCAGTATTATATATATATATATATATTACCTTGAAAATTGCTTGCATTTGAGTAAATTGTGGATACGGATGAGTTCCCGTAAACATTTCCACAATCAAACATCCCAAACTCCATATATCAGCTTTGCTTGTATAAGATGTTTGCTTAACAACTTCTGGTGCCATCCAAAATACGGATCCTTGTAATGAAGGCCTACTTAAGGATGTCGCCATAATTTCTGATAACAAAAAAGTTAATTAATTGATTGCAAATGCGAGAAGAATTCACTTATATAAATAGTGCTTACGATCTTCAACTTTCTTTGAAATACCAAAATCTGATATTTTGACACCACCCTTATTATCAACTACATAAATAAAAAAAAAAAATTTCGAAGGATATGAATAAAGTCACGTGAAATCTTATTAAGCGAGAACGAAAGGAAGGCCATTAACTTGGGAACATGATTTACCTAAAATGTTAGCACCCTTGATATCACGATGAATGATATCTTTTTCGTGAAGATAATTTAATCCTTGTAAGATTTGTCTGTTGAATGATCTAATTAGGGGTTCTTCTAATGGTCCATAATTGTTAAGCATTGTAGCTACTGATCCACCAGGAACATATTCCAAGAAAATATTTAATGTTTTCTTTTTATGTTCTGTTCCTTTAATCCAAAAAAAAAAAAAAAAAAAAAAATAGTAATCATCATCGTATATCTTATTAAGCAAATGCTGCATGAAAAAGGAGGAAATTCTCACCGAGATATTGTACTATGTTCTCATGTTGTAGCTCTTGTAAAAGTGAAATTTCTCTTTGTAAGGCATCTAACTATAATAGTAAAGATGTTAACATTTTAATTCTTAAAGTTTGGATCTTATGGTGAATATATACCATAGATTTCTTCCTCTCTTCGTTTGCGGATTGTCCAGTAGGCAATTCGACTTGTTTAACCGCCATCAATTCTCCGGTGATGGAATTAAGTGCCAAGTATACACTACCAAAAGATCCCATCCCAATCAAAGTTCCTTGTATCCATTTAAAAATGGATTTGGTAACTGCTGTTAAGATAAATTACACGAATGAACAATTAGTATATTAAAATCAAAGTGATGTGAATAAAATCGTATATGTCGTGATAAGTCACCTTCTTCAAGCGAATTAAGTTCATCGTGATTATCTTCAAAACTATCAAAATCTTCAAATTCATCTCCAACTTCTTCAAAAATAGTTGCATCATCCGGATCATCATTTAAAGGGGATAATAGACTTGATTGTCTTGGATTATTCTCAAAAAGCCTTGAAATCCGTTTTGATCTAGGCCTAGAAGAATATTTTGAAGACATTGAACTTCTAGAAGCTCTTCTCATGGAAAATCTAACACTACGCTCTAGCTCTTCACTATCATGACCGGGAAAATATTCCGTAAGGTTCAATGAAATTAACTCTGATGGAGGCCTTTGCCCAAAGAAATTTCTTAGTTTCTTTTGGGTTATTCCTTGTGGTATACTCGGAGGCTTTTCTCCAAAGAAATTTGCCAATTTCTTATCTCTCATATGTTTCTTAAATGTTTCATGATTCATTGGAAGATGTTTCTTTCTTAAAAATAATCTCTCTCTTTCCTGACGATCTGCACTTTTACATATATTTTCAACCTCCTCATCTGTTAAGCACCTTGCTAAAAAAAAAAAAAAAGTGTTTTTAATATATACATGATAACCTTGTAATTCGAAAAAAAAAAGTTGGACCAATCTAAATTACCTGATCCTGAATCACTTAAGGTTGTGAACAATGAATATCTTTCAACATCATCCTTGATATTGAATTTTTGTAAAACTCTTGCGAGAATGGACTTGGCATCACTAACATCATTTATCGGAATGGTTCGTGAAGATTGACCATCTTCTCCAATAACTTTAATGCATCGCTAAATAATTTAAAGAAGCGAAGTATAAAGACATGATTTGTCCAAAAACAAAATGAATGATTTTTAGACTTACCTGTTTAACGCTTTCTATAGACATGATTGTAGTCTCTTGAGATAGCTGTGGATTTAATTAAAATAAATTTTAATGTATATGTATATGTAATGTTTATTATATTTAATTACTCACTTTGTTAGATGAAGGAGATTTGGGTGAATTTATACGATGACTCGAATTTGAACGAGTTATTCTAGGCAACGAATCTGATCTAGCAAGTGTCGTAGGGAATTTATCGGTCTCTGGTGTACTCAATTCCTGAAAAAAAAAAATTTGTACTTTAACAGCGACCTTACTTTTTTTTTTTTTAAAAAAAAAAAAAACTAAGAATAAAAAACCAACCTTGCATCTGCATAAGAATTTGGTCGGGGTATAAGGATAAATAATATTTCCCCGACAAATTTTTAATAATGATTTAACGGCTAATAACATCCTAATGCGGTCGCCAACGGATCTTATTTTCAATTCTTTAAGGATGTCGTGATCCAATTCGAGTAAAACTTCTCCATTGATATCGTTTTCTTTGATCAAAAAATTTATATATATTTATTTATTATTGAAACAGTAACATGCTTTTTTTTCCAAAGCGATTTATGATTAAAAGATAATAAATGACCCATAGTTTACCAGCAAATATTTTTTGATATTCCCTAAAATTATTTTCTTGTAACCAATAAGAAACTTGTTCTAATTTCCATTGACGAACAATTTCAAAGGTAATGCGACTTTCTCTTTCTACACCAGGTGACGGAGGAGCACTTGCCAAAGGAGAAATACAAATTTGTGTCATTGTATTCTTAAAAGTTTTTTTTTTTAGAAAAAGATTATATATAGTTCAATGTAAATTTTTATGATGAATTTATAATGAAAAAAAAAAAAGGAGGGAAAAAGGTTTTTTTTGTTTCGATAATAATTTTGAAACACCACTTTATTACTCCTTATAGAAGACATAATTTAATTATAGTGTAACCAATGCATTTATCCGTTTTAGGAGGTGGATCGTATTGTTTTTCAAACACAAGAGCGGAAATAAAAAAGAAACCTATTTAAAGTTTTATTTGTGATCAACAAATTGAAATCTATATGCTTTATTGTTTTTAATGGTCAAGAGAGGAGGATGTCAAAAAAAAACCAAAACAAATCTGCAAAATCTTTGAAAAATAAAAACACCTTTACCGAGTCAGAAAAAAAAAAAAAATAAATAAATTTTTTTTTTTTTGCGGGGAAAAAAAAGAAAGCGAAAATTAATTATTTGTTTGTTTTACAAATAATTAAATTGATTTATTTATTATTATTTATATTATTTATATCGAAAAAAAAAAATTTCTCTTAACGAAAATAAATATATTCCTTTGATAAGAAAATTCACAATTATTTGAAGACCAGCTAATCATTTTTCCTCTTCATCTGGATCCTTTATTTTAATATTATCATCCACGCTCATTTTCCCTTCATCCTCTTCATCTAGAATCTTATTTATAGAAATATTCCCACTCATTTCCCCATTATCTCGGTTTTCTATATCGTACCTTTTAGAATTATGGGTTAAAGCAACTTTAGGTATTGTAATAACTTTTGTCAAATGAGGATATTCTTCCATTGATAAGGATCTAGAAGAAATATGTCGTGAAACTCGTCGACTCGATACAGAAGAATTTGATCGGGAATGTGATAACGTTCCGCTGTCATCCCTTGACAGAACTTTACTCGAATTCCTTTTTAAAGGTAAAGGCTGTGAAAATGTTACAGAAGCTCTTCCCGTTCTTGGAATCGAAGGTGTCTCGCTATTTCTTATTACGCTTTGTCTATCTTGAGAAGTTACCGTCGAAGCATCGATAACATTTGAATTTGCAGATTTCCAATTCGTTATTGAAAATCTTGATTTTTCACCAAATGATATGATTGAGGATCTGCTTCCGGCACTCAATACGGAACGTGTTCTTTCTTTAACCGAAATACGAAGGGATGAAAATCTATTTGAATCAGTCTCAATATACGATGTAGTCAATTCCATACTTCTTGAAGATGACTTTCTAATTATATGATCATAAGCTTCTACCAGAATGGCTTTCTTGGCCGCAAAGATTACGAAGATTAAGATACCCGCTGTTCTATTAAAAAATAACAGCATAAAGGTATAGCTATAAGGAACGACATCATTTTCTACCATTTTAGCACAAATGTTTTGATCTTTATAAGTAATCAAACATCGAATCCATCCTGGTAACCACGAATTTATTAACATGGGGTCGGTATTCGGTTCAAGTTGAATAATATAATAATTCCAATTTATGACATATATCGCCAACATTAATGAAGCACCTAATAATGCACGCCATTGCATCATAAAGATTGCTTTTACATAAGTAACCTTTCGTTGTGCTTCGATAAAAGAGGCTCGTATTGATAAATCCCTTTCTGGTGAATAACGTCGATTCGAATCGATTGTAATCTGAATGAAAATAATTAGCCGGATTATCAGGGATAGGTTTCTTTTAAAGACGATGTTATGTATCTTTTACTTACGTGAGCCATATAGACAAAGGTTGAGACGTGCGCGATAAATGCGACATAAATAAAGGATAAAAAGTAAAAATACGCGGTGGACGAATCCGGGGAAATAAAGCATATATTATTTGATTGAACCTTCTTGCTAGCGAAAGGAATTATAATCGCTAACGATGTAATCCCAATTATAATACCATGGAAGTAAACTATTTTCTTTGCTATGAATTCTATGCGCCATACCGACATCTTTTTATTGAAATAAAATAAAAATAAATAACCGAATCAGGATAGGAGAAGAAAAAAATTAAAAAATTCTCACCAAATGTAGATGTATCATCAAAAGAGCAGACCAACATGATATCGCATACCCTCCTCCAAGTGTGAAAAATGCTATATAAATATAAATATAAATTGAATTGAATGATTTATAATACGCTGTAAACGAGAGATAAATGTCGTTAAAAGTACCTTGAATAGCGCATAATATATTATTATTCTGATTCGCCGGAGTAATATGGTTGACGCACTATAAGGCATAGAAATTGAGCTGTGATTCCCGTTCTTTTTTTTTTAATTCACCTTATATGATGATAAAATCATTACCTGAGATTTTTGTTGTAATAAAGTGAAAAATTCAGAACCTTCGAAATACATCACACTTATGGCAAGGGGCAACAACATTTGCCTCGATAACGGATTTTGTTTTTGACTCGGAAGTGCGTAAAAAAAAATACTAAGTAAAATCATCAAGAAGAAAGAAATTATTCCTACAATCGCAAAACCTTTAAATGTGTAATCGATTTTGTTCACTTCATAGAAATTATTCACAAATGGACAGGCAACACAACAATCATCAAAACACACTTGTGAATCATCTTTCTCAACGTCCCTAACTATAAGAGGGGGTGGACAATTGTCTTTTGATATAACATTAATATCAGTTTCCTGCGCTAATGCTGAATGTATTAACATAGAAACTATTAGGAACCATGGCATGATTCCTTTGATGGTTTTGCCATTAATTTGACCGAAGCGTGTTCGCGATGTAAGAAATTTCATGATTAATGAAAAAAATGTATGTTACATAGGTTAGCTTTATGGAAAGGAGGAAGAAAAAAAAAAAATCATGTTCACTTTAATTTTAAAAGAACATCGCAATGTAAATCATTCTTTTTAATAATAATGATTTACATGTAAATTCTCAAAATAAATGCACGCGGAAACATTTTTTAATATATTTAATATTTTAAAAAAGGATTGATATATCTTTCTAAAAACGTTAATCTTATTTAATATTTATAAACACGTGTATTCTACCTTCGCATTTCGATTTTCTTCCGAAAATCATTTATTATTGGTTTCTGGCTTTTAAGTTTAAAAATGCTATTTATATCTTGATAAATGGTTTTTCCATCGATTCCAAAAAAAAAAAAAATCGTTAATATTGGCACCTTCGAATTGCACTTGTTTTAACATAAACAAAAAGAGAAGGATAATAAATTATGTATATGAATGATATTTTTGTTGAACGTCCTGGGATCATTCCACATTGCTATGCTGAATTAATGAAAGCATGCTGACCTTCTGGAAGACAAACTGCAGCGGAAATTTCTATTATCGTTCAGAATTGGATATTACACTTTGAAGTATTATGAGGCGGAAGTCCATTGAAATTAAAATTTGACAAATTTATAAGTCATCAAGATTGGTTATTATTTTTCGCTTAAAAATTCCAAACGAACATTTTTATTGTCGTAACAATAAAAACGTTTGTCTTATGAGAAGATGCGCAAAAAAATAATGTAAAGAGATGAGCAGGCATAGGAATATGATATGACTTGCATATGTTCCCGGGGATTTTTTAATTCTTTATCAGATGTTTAAACAAATATGTGGCCATAATAGCTCAAGATCATCTAAACCTTCTTCGCAATTTGATATGCAAGTGACTGAACATTGACCACCTCATCTTTTTATCCTTTGTAAATCAAACTTGAATTTACAAAATGTCAATCCATCGCGACACTTTTTGGGGTCTGCGAATGAGAGAGATCTACACTTTCGCCATTTTTTTTTTTTTTTTCGACAAAAAAAGAAATAAAAACAGAACTTTATTTATAAGTTATTGTGCCTTGCGTTGATAAATAGTCAAAATTATTGTCCAATTCATAATGACGATCAGTTAGATTAGTGGCTAAATCTGACCGATCATCATTACGAATTGGACAATAATTTTGACTATTTATCAACGCGATATTATCGTGTGATTTTATGATGTTGACTTTAAAATTATGAAGATTAAGTTCATCATTCTCTTGGCGATAGGATGCGATCCTACTAGATGCCTAACATAAAATTTATACATAGTAATTTGAA